TACATATACATAAATATTACATATTACTATACTTGATGTTACACAGTGATATAAAATCATTATAAATAATATCACATTTTAAAATGCTTACAGAGCAGTATTTTATCAAAACAGAATTTAAATATGATCAATTTAAATACGATCAATAGAAATTCCCAATCAGAAAGAATAGAGATTACGATCGCCAATATACTGAAACATATATCATAAGGAAATTTATGAATTATTTGACCAAATCCCCAAGTTAGCTGCATACTATGAAGGACACAATTAAGTAGGACATGCTTTGACAGAACTGTCTAGCTTTAAGTAACACAACAAAAAAGATAGGTTTGATGGCAAAGGGTTAGGCTTCTGCCTTAAGAACTTGGGAAAGGAAGAGATAGACCCAAGATATACCCAAGTAAAGGAAAGAAAGACATAGATAAGAAACTGAAGAAACAGAAACAAGCTTACTGCAGACAGGAAAAGGTCAAGACAGAAGGTGGTTATCTGAAAAGAACAGTAAAAGTAACAAATGCCCGCAGCACTATCAATAACCATGACTTTATGAGGGTCAAGCTTAGCTGTCAGGAGATCTAGAACCAGGACTGGGAAAAGTGGGGAGAGGACTCATGATGCCCTAGGGGCACTGACAAGAAGGGGGCCTTACAATTGAAGCCACTTCCATTGAGGCTGGAGTTAAGAAAAAACCCTCTGCGTAGATCTGTGTATCCTTTCGTCACACAATTCAATGTTTAGCATACAAGTACTCAGTCTGTAGACATCATCACATAATACTTTTCAGCTCAGTTTTCTATAACCAAAGATATAAGTTTTCTGGGACTGGAGCTGTTCAATTGAGCTTTTTACTTCATTCCTGTGAGAAACAGTAGCTGCCATTTGTGAAAATGTAACTAAGCCTGCTCTTCTCCACACCTAGAAGTGATCAGTGAGAACAGTGGTTCATCCATTTAGAACCCTGGATGCAGGGGAGGGAGGAAAAAACAAAAAGGAAATGAAGCATCTGCAACTAAAAATAAAATTAAAAAAAAACTCCTATCCAACTCCGTTATGAGTTCTAAATATATACTGTTCACAGGTTAGTAGAACCCTGAGCCATGAAAATAAATCTGGTCTACAACTAACAGAATGCCAATGGCCTCAGCAAAAATAAAGTTAAAATTAATAAAATTAATAGGGTTAAAATTGCTCAACTGCTCTTCAGAGTACATCTCTCTACCCATGTCTGTTGGGGAGGACTACATAGACATGAATCCATGTGTATAATGCTATACACAATACCAAAAAACACAAACATAGACTATGATGTTAGCACTTCTGGGGCTGAGGCAATAAGAGCATGAGTTTTAGGACAGCCTGGGCAATATAGCAAGGCCTCATCTCAAAATACAAAAATTAAAGTTCATGTAGTACAAACAATGTAGCAATTTTACTGGCCAATTTACTTCAAACTTGGTACGTAATATTAGAAATAACAGAAACACTTAAAAGCCATTATAATATAGTAAGATGACAAAATGAGAAAATGGAATCATTTAAAAATTGGGAAAGAACTAGTGGAATCTGAATTTTTAAAAAATAAAAAAAATATAAACTTGCGAATAAAAAAATCATAACTAAAATTAAATAGCTATTATCCTTTTCAATTGATACCTTTTGGCTTGGCCTTTCCCACCCCACAGTGTGCATGTCTCTCTTTCACCTGTACAGTAAATACAGATGGGAAGATTTTGGTTAAGTGGGAGACACCTGACAAAAAGGCACTTTGGAATTAAAAACTGACATTTAGGCTAGAAAGGGGGAGGGGCTCTTTGAATGAAGCACTGAGCTAATGGCAAGAAAAGTCAATGGCCGTGCAGCATATACACCTTCTGAACCTGCGCACTGCAGAAGGCATGCGCTCACAGCACCAATGGCACCACGGAGCACAGCAGAATCCTTTACAAGGGCTCTATGTCAGACATTTGGAAAAGGAACCCAAAGGAAAGCCCTGGGAGCTGCTAAACTCCACAGTGAGGGAACTGGTTCCTTGGCTGTGTGATCAAAGGCAGGAGGACATGATCACCATGGGCTAGACCAGTTTCTGTAGCTAGTCTGCAAGTTGAAATTCACGCTTGTGGTAACACCCATGATGTGGAAGCTGGGTTCCAAGCCTTTCAGACACAGCTGGGAGACGGGGTAATATGGCAGCAAAGTCAGTGAGTCATGTCAATGTGGACAGCATGGGGTCAGCATATCATCTCTGACAGAATGAAAGTACGCTAGGGTTGACATGTCACAGCTGACCAAAATCAGGTGTCCTCTTGAGCCTCAGAAAGCTTCTGATGAACTCTGCAAAGAGCCTGGTTCACTTCAGAACACAGAGCTTGCTAGGGCACAGTCTTCGACAGATTAACCTCATTCTTCCAAGCTGTAAATAAATCATGACTTTACCCAGCAAACTTCAAATATAAGTTGCAACGAGAACAGAGTCAATTAAAACATGCAACCCCAGGTAGAAAAATGGATGAGAATTTCCCAAAACTGAGTGTGTAACACTGTATTCCACAACAGATAAATCTATGTCTAGAACAAACCTGTAGACTATCAAAGACAAATAAAATCTTACAAACCAGCAGAGACAAAGGACAGATAACAAGGAAAAGGGTTGGTCATACTAGGCCATCAGGAAAGAGACTGATCATTCAAGGCTGTCAAGAGATACCTGTGACAACTGGGCTCTGGTACAGTCCAACATCTCCCCACCCAGGGAGCTCCCTACTTCACCAGTCAAGTTCCTTCCCCTGGGCTGGTCCTTGTTCTGACCAAGAGAATGCAACAGGTGCAGTAGCTGAGACTTAAGTCTAGGCCTCTGAGGGTGAGCACAGTACACTACTCTGTACTTAGAATTCTTGTCTGGGGCCTCTATACTTAGTCCCTATGCTAGGAGAACCAAAGTCAACAACAATGACTGCTACCCTATGAAGATGCCACACTTGATGCTTCACCTAAACATGAGTCCCTAAGTAACTGCAGTCCCGGCTAACATCAAAAGGAGAAATCACTGATACAAAGTCAGGAAAGAAATGTGAGATTATCTTAAATTATTACTTTAAGCCAGTAATCTCAATCTCTCCCTCCCTCTACCCCTGCCACAGACTAGGCTGGCTTTAAACTAACAGATGTCCACCTGCCTCTGCCTCCTCAGAACTGAGATTAAATAGGGCATATCACCAGATAATTTTATTGACTTTTGTCCTTTGAGGCAGAATATTGCTACACAGTAAAATAATGTTCAAACTAGCATTCTAAAATCAATTTAATATCGTACTAGATTCTAGAAATCTAGATGAAGATCAAAATAATTTTTATAAACAAATAGTGAATGTTCCCCACTTAGACACCCTTATGAAAGAAATACTCAAGAGCATATGCATATCAGAAGTAATTACAAGCAATGAAATTTATAAATATGTTAGCAAACTTAATAAGCACTGACTTAACTAAGAATAAGATAAAATGACAATTTTACATTGTTTTGCAATTTGATTAACCAAATACTGGAATTTGAGCTTTTTTATTAACATAATATTTTTATTGATTATTTGGAAATTTCATATAATACACCTCAATCACATTCACTTCCCAGTCCACCCCACCCCACACTCCCCACCCTTGTGACCATCCCAAAAACAAAAGAAGAAGAAAAAGAGAGAGAAAAAAAAATCAAGTCCAACATAGCCAAACTCCCAGGTGCCAGCCCCTTAAAAAAACCCAAGTCCTTCCCCACTGCCAGCCCCTCCCGAAGCCACCCACTGTGAAGAGCTACTTCAGCTTCCCTGTCACAGTTTCTAAGAGTTCTCTTCAGTGGCTTCAATTATCCTATGTATTTGTGTATGTGCAAGGCAGGTGACTGGACAACTTCCCAAAACTGGTTCTCTCCTGCCACCATGTGGGTCTCAGGAATACTGAGGATCACACCCAGATAGTCAGGCTCTGTGCCAAGTGCCCTTACCTGCTGAGCCATATCACTGGCCCCGGCTTTGGGGTTTTTAATTGCTATGGAAGATAATGACCGTGCTACACAGAACTGACCAGGAGAACAATCAACATACATGAAAGTATCTGCAAGAGCTCACACAAGGTATTTATCAAGTCTTCCCCTGATCTTCCGTCACACAGTACCCTAAGCTCTCAGCTCTATGGATGGATAGAGAAAGCAAATTTATAAGAGAAAAATGAAAGAAACCGATTGTTCTATTTCTTTTCTGATGCTGTGATAACACTGTCCAAAGGCGACTTGGGAGAGGAGAAGTTTATTTTAACTTACAGCCCCAAATCACAGCCCATGGGTACAGGCAGTCAGGGTCTGAACTCAAGGCAGGAGCCTGAAGCAGAAACAATGGAGGAAACCCCCGTGCTGGCTCCCCCATTAGCTTTCTCATAGGCTTACTAACATGCTCATGCTCAGAGCACTTCTTACCTCACCTTCTCAGTCCAGGACCACCTGCCTAGGAACAGAGAGCTGCCCATAGTGGGCTGGGCCTCCCTTTATCAATAAATAAGACAATTCCCCCTCCCCTCCAATCAAATCTAGGCAACTCCTCACTGAGGCCCTCCACTGAGGACTCTCCTCTGTAAAGCTAACAATGAAAGCTCAGCAGGCAGCAGGCAGCAGGCACACTCTAGCACACACCAGATACAACAGCTTAGGCTGCTCCTTGGACATTAGCCTCAGAAGTCATGCCATGGACACGCGATATAAATGATTAATATTAGCATTAGGGACAAAGTTTATGACCAAAAAGGAACCTACACAGAAGATTTTACACAAAGAATTCCTTAAAATTTTAAAAATTATTAGTTTTCTCACCCATTGATGTTAACTAACTTAAAATGTCCAAACCTCTAAACTTAAAGAGTAGAGATGAACTTAAGAATTCCATCTTTTAGTTAACACGGAACTCATACACAGGAGAGTGAGGGACATTTAAAGGCAGCTGCGGAGCATGACTTACTTTAATGGCAAACTTCTTAGATGCCATGGTTTACTGATTTCCAAAAGAGCTACAGCACCTGCAGAATAAAAAAAAAAAGGAAAGATATAGTTAGATATATAAAACTATCTCTTTGGGGAATGTTATATGGAAGATCTGGTTAATAAAATATCATTAATCAGTATAAGATAAAATTTTCATTCTAATTGCCCTTAACTAAAATATTATGCTAATATGGTAACCTAAAAACTGACCAGAAAAATGTACAAGCTCCGAGAGCTTCCCTACAGTAACCCACCACATGTTTATAACCGAGTTGATTTGACCCCAGGAATGCAAAGGTGGCTTAACATCTGAAAAGCAATCAACAAAAATACCACATAATCAGAGAATTTGATTCCCAGAATCCACAACAAAAGGAGAGAACCAACTCCTAGAAGTTGTCCTCTGACCTTCAAAAATTCTGTTATGCACATGATCTCTCTCTCTCTCTGTCTCTGTCTCTCTCTCTCTCTCTGTCTCTCTCTCTCACACACACTAACACACACTCTCTCACACACCACAAACAATAACAACTAATAAAATTCTTTAAAAGAGAAAAAACAGCTAAAATCATACATGATGAGTAATCTTTTACTCCCACTAAAATGAGCAAAGGGCAATGTCTTTCTTCTCTTGCTGCTTTTATTCAAAACTGTACTGAAGAGCAAATAGAGAAGGAAGAGAAAAAGGCATCCAGAAAAGGAAGAGATCACGCTTCTGCATACAGAAAGTCTTCCTTTCTCTTTCTCTTTTTTCCCCCTCTCATCTGTCTCCCATCTTTTTCTCTTTTTTACACATACAAACACAAAGAACCTATCACAATTAGTGACTTTGGGAAAGCTGGTGGAGTAACTGGATCACTATTTTAAAATACACTGTATTTTGGTATGCCAGCAAAGAACAATACTAAACGTGAAATTAATAAAACAATTCCATTTCTGATAGTAGAAAGAAGATACAAAGAAATAAATATAATTAAAGAAATATATTATTTGTACACTAAACACCATAAAACATTATTGAAAGAAACTAAAGAATGGGTTGAGTTAGCTCTGGGGTAGAGTGCTTGTTTAGCACGAGCAAGTCCCTACTGTCAATTGCTAGTGCCATAAGTCAAAGAAAAGTAAGTCTATATAAATAGGAATATACTTCATGTTTATACTCAAGGATTAGGACACTTAATACTATTAAGATACCACTCTCCACCAAACTGATTCTACCAACTCAATGCAATCTGTATCAAATCCTAACTCAGTTCTCTATACAATTGAAAGCATATCCTAAAATATCTATGAGAATACAAGGCATATGCATACACAAAACAATGTTGAAAAACAACACAGAAGACTTGTATGTCCCCATTTAAAAACTTAATACAAAATTGAAACCATGAAAACCATCAACAAAACATGGTAGTTGCATTAAAGTATATACACAGATCAACTGACTAAAATCAAGACTGCAAAAAATAGATCCTTTCTCATGGCCACATGATTTTCAACAAGGGTGTCAAACAATTTGATGGGGAAGAATTCTTCAACACTTGGTGGTGGGACAACATGCAGAGAGCAATAAGCTTTGCCCCTTCTATCACACTTCAAACAAAAATTAACTCAAAGTGCATCAAATACCTAAATGTGAAAGCTAAAACTATAACTCTTAGAAGAAAACACAAATTATAAATTTTCATGATCACTCATTTAGGCAATAATTTTTTTTATTTTGACATTTTATTGTTGATCTTCATGTATGGTGTGTGTCCACACTCCTGTGGGTATATTCATGTGTGTGTGCATGCACATATGAGTGTTGTGAATATTAGCTTAAGATGTATTACATTCATTTATGCTGTGGATTACTTATTTACATTCATTTATACTGTGGATTATTTGTTTAATGATGCAAAGATGTGTTTCATTCTTTCATGTTGCATTTGTGTAACTCTGTGAAGCTGTGTTACTCTGCCTGCCTAAAACACTCAATTGGTCTAATAAAGAGCTGAATGGCCAATAGCAAGGCAGGAGAGAGAAATAGGTGGGGTTACCAGGTAAAGAGAATAAATAGGAGGAAAAACCTAGGCTGCAGAGAAGAGGAAAGAGTGAGAAAGGGAGGAGAGGAGGACACCAGGAGCCAGCCACGAAGTAAGAAGAAAGATATATAGAACTTTTTTGGAATAATCTTTCTGTATGCTGTGAATATGTATTGTGCTCATTGGTTAATAATAAAGCTGATTTGGCCTATAGCAGGCAGAATAAGGTTAGGCGAGAAAGCCAAACTGAAAATACAGAGAGGAAAAGGGGTGGATTCAAGAAAGAGATGAGCCAAGAGAAGCAAGATGCTAGAGTACAGGTAAAGCCACAAGCCCTGTGACAAAATGTAGATTAATAGAAATGAGTTAATTTAAGTTATAAGAGCTAGTTAGCAATAAGCCTGAGCTATAGGCCGAGCATTCTGTAATCAATATAAGCTTTTGTGTATTTATTTGTAACTGACCAGATAGTTGGGACAAAACAAAAGCTCTGCCTTCATTTACATAGAATAAAAAAGGTAAAAAGCCCAGAGGCAAAACATAGTTAAGGAAAAAAGGGATAATCTAAGTTGTAAAAGTTGTCCTGGCTGGGGAGATACCATGATCACCAATGTGGTTTTCCTAGGACGAGGTTTATTCATTGTACTCCAAATGTGCTGAAAGCTGCGATTTCCCTAAATGCAGGAAACTCGACTGCATAATTTGTGGTAGTGAGGGATTGTGTTTGCACAAGAAAAGAAAGAGAGAGAGAGAGAGAGAGAGAGAGAGAGAGAGAGAGAGAGAGAGAGAGAACGAATGAACAAGCCAGGTGGTGGTGGCGCACGCCTTTAATCCCAGCACTCGGGAGGCAGAGGCGGACAGATCTCTGTGTGTTCCAGGCCAGCCTGGTCTACAGAGCGAGTTCCAGGACAGCCAAGCTTAGGCAGTGAAAGACAGAAAGCTGGTGAAGATGTACTTGGAGGTGTACACAAGAGGACTGGAGGCTGAGGTTATCCTTGGCTATCTAGAAGTCTGAGGACAGCCTGGACTAGAGACCTTGACCAGGACATAAATAAATACTACCCACCATAAAGTATTTTGTGATAGCAGCCCACACATACTACTAACACATGTCAATGCCAAGAGTTCTGGACCCCAAAAAGAGTATTATCCTGACGGTGCCCCACAATCACTGCCTCTTAAGAGAACTACTTGGTATCTCTTTCTCAGTTCTCAGTATTTAGATAACTAACACCACCCACCACGAGAGGGGTGTGACAGGGAAGCCAGTACTCAAAATGGTTAGGCTTTGCACAGCATCACAAGCCTCTGACTAGAATCCTTGCCCACCCTCCTTTCCAAAACCAATCTCCTTGACATCTGCACTGACTTCACCCGAACAGCCGTTGACAAACGTCCTTGATTATGGATCTCTAGGTACTTCTACTTCCTCCCACACGCACTGAACTGATGTTCTCTCCTAGGGTAGGTACCCTATCATCCAACGTCCAACAGCAGGACCACAAGCTTCTTGGAGCCAGTCATGATTGTTTAGACTAAAGTGTTCCTCTCTCGGCCAGTTACACTTCTACCTCATTCTCAGCTCACTAAACTCCACGCCACCCTGGTCCTCAGAGCATCTCCTCTGCCTAACCAGAAGTTCCCCGGGACAAAATCTTTTCAGGTCCTTCTTAATAGCTGAGCCACCACACAGATACACAACAGAGTTTGTTTAATCAATGCTACTGTCCTCGAACGGTCAGCTGCTATAGGCTATTAGTATATTTTACATTTACACCCATTTATCCAATGAAACTTTATTGTCTCCAATCCCAAATTCTCCATTAAATCTTTTACATGGAAGGCAAAGTACTCTGAACAGATGTTTAGAAACAAGCAGTGTAATAAATACTGAATACTTAATGCATCAGACAAAGTTGAGAGAGCTGTGATTAATACATAGATCCTAATGTTTTATGCTGGGAATAATGTACAATGAGGCTGGGAATGTAGCTCAGGGTTTGCCTTACATGTTCAAGTCTTTAAATTCAATCCTTAGTTATAAAACATTGAACCACCACAAGTAAGTAAATAAGTAAATCTAAATTTAAAGATGAAATGGACAACAGATCTGACATGTGGTTGAAATTTAGTCCACTTCAGTGTAGCCTTTTGTTGTTAAAAATACTGATTTCTAACATTCATTTGAATAGAAAATGTATTGGCCTTGGAATTAAGTTTTAAATTTCCAAACAATTTTTCTGCAAGAGCAGAAAGCTCAGTGCTTAGGGTTTCAAGCACTAATGTAAAAAAACAAACAAAAAAACAAAACAAAAAAAAACCTTGCTATAGAGCTATCTATTAAAGTCTAAAGTCGTTGGCATTTTTATTTTGTTGACTAGTGTTATGAAATCCAGGACAATCTCCAAAAAGATGTATTTTCCAATTACATGGAAACCATACACTTTGCATAAGCCTGTAGGGAAGCCACAGCACAACATAAATCTCACAAATACGACCGTCTGTCCTCTCTTCTGCATTCCTGGGCCCACTGTCTCTAAACTGGACACAAGCATTCCTTCACAAAATGGACACTTGGATAACGTGTGACCCCACCAAAACTCAGGCACTTGCATGTGTGGCTGACAGGGAGGCAGACAGCCTAAGATGTTTAGGGAAATTAATTTGGGGAAGGAATAGAAGCAGATTAGACAATATCACATGATTTTCCTGTCATTTAAATACAGCGCAGAGATAAACTCAAAGAAAGAAAGTCAGTGACCTTCTAGATTATTCTGTGGGAAAATCTAGGGCAACGTGAAATCCCCATTTGTCTTTCTTTCAGGATTTCTGGCCTGTGTGACAAGCTTTTGAAAGCAGCTGCCTCAATTTAAAAGGCCAAATATTAACTCTAGCCTCCTAACCTCTCCATTTCAATCTTCACTCAAGAAATTATTGTGCTTCTATCATCTTCCTACAAAGCTCTCTAGCTATGGAAAGAGAACAGAAAACGGTAAGGGCCCTAGGATTTCTGCCACTACAACTGAAATTAAAACATGAGAAATCATGGCTGTTGCCCAGCAACACACCACGGTTGTTATTAAACTGATACCTAGGAACAAACTGTAGTAAAAGGTCAAAAAGTGACAGATGAGCAAAAGTCCTACTAGTGACAACTTAGATAAAGGTTAAAAGGAAACCTCAGCACAAAAAAAGAATTAGCTGTTCCTATGACTTGGGGTGGGGTGCCGCAACCTTGAATGCCTAGTATGCTCATAAAAACAAATCAAAACAAGCATCAACAATGGAAAAAGAACCATTCAAACAACAAAAATCTGACTATTTTTCTTTCCTTTACGAAATGTAGACCAGATGTTAAAACACTGTAACAAGATCAATTCCAATTACTGATTCTACTTTTCTGTAACTCTGCTGTCACGCCAATCATATGACACAAGACCTACGTCTCCACTTCCTGCTGAGTTTTCAGGCCAGCCAACCCTGCATGGGATGCTTCGCTGACAGTCAGATCTATTTATCATCTGATTCCTTATCAGAAGCACACACAGACATCTTCATGCACTCTAGTAATGACTTGAGACTCTCACTTCTGCCTTTTCGGATGGCCTGAGACCATTCAACTCCTCTGTGTCTCTGGACCTCTTCTTCATAAAACAGGACAGTCATTGGGCTCTGGGGAGTGGTCAGGTCATCACTTGGCTCTGTGCCTGAATCTCAGTGAATGATTAGTCTTAAATACACCCAAGAACGTACAAGCGGACATCATGTAATTTACTTTAGAACCTAAAACCCATTCTGATAATTGCTGTTTCCCATTCGCCTTCACTGACAACAATCAAACAAAAGAAAAGGCATTCTGATTATCATCAATACTCTTCTTAAAATCTAATCTTTTTGGTGCAAAGATTGTATCACTGGAGAATATACCATTGTTTCACTGGCTGCTAAGGGTTGAAGAACAGATGCACATAAGGGATAGTTGGAGAAACTGGGTGGGAGCGTGTTGGTAGAGATAGAGGCTGATGATAGACCTGGACCATATCCCGATTTCAGTGGGGGTTACATAACTCCACAGGAATCAAAACTCAAGATACTAAACCAAGAAAGATTTTTCTTTTTATGCCTGACTATTTAAACTGTTTTTAATTACAAAACATCAATCTTTTCTAGAGAAAAAAATCAAAACAGTGACATGAATTATCTTTTCTATCCACGATATTTTAACAGCTGCATTTCGTATTACCCCCATAGTAACATAAATCAAATTCAATTTTAAGCCAGCTTTGACTTATTCTAGCAATATGTGTCAATACTACTAAAAGCAACTGATTGACCATTCTTCCCTAAGAAAAACACTAAACCTTAATACATAAGTAGCATTCTCCATCTCCTGACAAATGGGAGCTCTGGGATGTCTCTGGCTTGGCTTTACAAATCTCTACTTTGTAGAATTTCATGGCTCTCAGATGTAGATGGACTATTGTCCAAAATCCCTAAAGCAATATATTCATACTAACCTTTAAAGATTTAAGGCAGATTAAATGATTAGAGATATACAGACCAAGAGACAACAATCCTGAGTCTGGAGAGATGACTCAGCAGTAACAGTTCTTGTAGCTCTTGCATTGGACATAAGTCAGTACACAACCATTTGCAGCACGGGTTCCAGGAGACCCAACTCCCAAGCACTACAGCTACCTGCACTAACATACACATACCCACACAGAGACACACATATATACACACGATTTAAAAATTATTAGAAATAAATAATCCAGGTGGACAACGCCTGTGCTCCTAGCTACTCCAGGGACTGACAGAGAGGAACTGTAAGTTCACCGTTAGCCTGGGCAACTTAGCAAGACTCCGTTTCAAAACTAAAGTGCAGGAGGGGAACAACAGCTCAGTGGTCGAGCATTTGCCTGGTAAGTGAAACGTTCAATCCTGAAAGCTGCTTTAAAACACACACACACACACACACACACACACACACACACACACACAGTTTCATGTTAGACCCAGGAACAGAGCACCATAGGCAAGAACTCTACCACTAAACTACACTTCCAGCACCGTATTTTGCATTTTAAAAATGTATTTCGGAGCTGGAGAGATGGCTCAGTGGTTAAGAGCACTGGCAGTTCTTTCAGAGGACCTGGGCTCAATTCCCCACACCCACATGGCAGCTCACAACTGCCTGTAACTCTACCTCCAGAGGATCTGACAGCCTCATAAAATACCAATGCACATAAATAAAAATAAATAAAGCATTTTAAAAAGTCGTATTTCATTCATAAGAAGTTAAGGCATAAATTATATAAAAGACAAGTAAAATAACAACACAAAACGTTTTGCCACTGTCCTCTTCTGGTTTCATTGTATATAGAAAGCATTAAAAAACTAGGGTTTCTTCTTTTTTTTTTCTTCAATTTAAATAAGCTGGAAAACAAAACTACGTGAAATTGAGCACACTGAAAACAAAAATCCCAATGGTTATCCACTAGTGAATGATACAGATGATTATGTAGCCACACTTGATAAGTCAGCAGTTCAAACAGGCTGAAGAGTCTGTGGGTTTAGCTCTGTGATAAAGCACTTGACTAAAAAAGCACAAAGTCCTACTTCAAGCTCCAACACAAAAGAAAAAAAAATAAATGGAAGGAAACAAAAGACACGAGCTATTGACATATATAACCGCATAAATATATATTGCTATATATAACAAAGATAGCTACACATACCCCCAAATAAAAACATCTGGGACATGGCTTCTTTGAGATAAGAATCTAGAAAATGTTTGTTTATTTATTTATATTGGTAAGTCAGTAGTTGCTTAGAAAAGAGCAGCTTGGGGAATTACCAAGAAACCAGACTGAGGGCGATGGTTATGATCATTATCTGACTGTGACACACCAGCATACATGTGTAGAACATACCACGTTGTATACTTTGAACAGATGTTGCTATTTGCACCACAATTTTATCTCAATAAGGCTATGTTTACAGAAAGGTCTTTTGATTTAAAAAGTTATTTGAAAATCATCTTCCTGGCCTGGAATAATGGATTTAGACCACCCTCTTTTTCAAACGGATGAACACAGTGGAAAGCCAAAGAATTTCAGTCATTGGACTGTGTAAACAAAATCTTAATAATCCAAAGATTGATTTATAAGATAATATAAATATCTACAGCTAATATCTTCATAACTGTTACTATGTACCAGGTACTTCTTCTAAAAATATGTATTATTTTTAATTATGGATATAGGAGAATGCCTGTGTGTGGGTATGTTCGTGGGAGGGTAGACACCCATAGAAGTCAAACACCATGGATCCCCCAAGAAGTTGGCATTAAAGGCAATTGTAAACTGCCTGGCATAGATGCTGGGAACGACACTCAAGTTCTCTAGAACAGCACACAGCTCCTAACTACTGAGCCATCCCTCCAGTTCATGCCTGGTACTTCTAAAAAGCATGTTTCTGGTATTAACTTATATAACTCTCACACAGTCCTACCTTCCAAGTAACAAAACTGAAGCACAAGGGTAGACGACGTCTGTCAGATTCCAGAGCGCGGAGCTGGAAAGTGGAGAAGGCAGGATGTGAGGCCAGGACAGACAGTTTCAGATCTGATTTTCTTATTAACCACCCCCATTATCACCACCCCTCAATATCCCGTGCAGCGTTTAAACTGCGGACAATCGCCGGGCGGGCGGTGGTGGCGCACGCCTTTAATCCCAGCACTCGGGAGGCAGAGGCAGGCGGATCTCTGTGAGTTCGAGACCAGCCTGGTCTACAAGAGCTAGTTCCAGGAAAGGCTCCAAAAAAAAAAAAAATTAACAAAACAAAAACAAATAAACTGCGGACAATCAATACTGCAGTGTAATGAAGTTCACCTTCACAGTGATAAAAGATGCATCTCCACGATGGAAACATCCACGCAAGACTCATGAGAACAAGAGACTTCCATTCTTCTTTCCCACTTAATACACTGAGTAAAAAAGACACACAATAATCAATGACAGTGACGCTGACTGGCAATATAACTAGTGTAAGGTAACCAATCACTGGGCAGTTGACTGGCAAGGTAGCTAGTGTAAGGTAACCAATCACAGGGCAGTTGACTGGCAAGGTAGCTAGTGTAAGGTAACCAATCACTGGGCAGTTGACTGGCAAGGTAACTAGTCACTGGGAAGATGGTTCACCAAACTCCCAATCTAATATTCCTCTTCAAAATCCTAAGTATTTTAAGGAAAGTCCTGGGGGTGGGAGGTGGGGGGAGACACCACACTTCTTACTCACAACAGCATGAAAAACATAAACATCACTTTCAGTGCCATCAAATACCTTAGTAGCACTTCGATTTCTCCCAGAGTCTGGATTTCTGTCTATAACCAGTCTCAAGTCAGGTTTAGAAGCCTCTCAGGTGACTGCCATGGGCAGCCAAGTTTGAGAATTCCCGATTTTGATTTCTCAGTAAAGGAAGACACAGAAGAAAGCCCGGGGCTACAGAAAGTCACTGTAAGCCACAACCCAAATTTCCAAGTCAACATCACACTGTGCCAACATGCAACTTCTAATCATTCAAAGTAAACTCCCAGATGGTGCTGACCTGGCTGGTAGATGACCAGACCGAACAAGGCCATAGTAAGTTGAACATGAGCCAACTAGTTTACAATTATGGCTATGTACAACACCCAAGAAATAGGAGAAGCAAGAACCTATTAAGCTGCTTGTCCAGTAGTGCTAAGAACTATAGAATACTGTGTTCCTGGTCCCAGCTTGGTAGTTGGCAAGGAAATTGAATGAGAGCCCCAAGAAAGGGTTGAGTGGTTGTTGTTGTTTTTTTTTTAACTGTTCTTTGCTTTCTATAGCACAAAGTTAGTTAAGTATTGAACAAAGGCACTGGCTGAGTGAATGAATGAGTGAATGAATGAATGAACAAACGAACGAACGAACAGAATCCCTAAATCACATCTTAAAATCTTCTGAGAATGTGAGCAGTGGTAGTGCTCGCCTGTAATTCCAGGACTTGGGAAGCAGAAGCAGGCGAATCTCTTCGAGTTAGACGTCAGCCTGGTCTACATGGCAAGTTCCACAACAGTCAGAGTTGTTACACAAGAAACCTTGTCTCGAGGGGGAAAAGAAATCTCTGAAGGCTATATTTTACATCTATGGACGTAGACAGCTGTAATTTCATACAAATTGCTGCCCCGTCCGTTTGGCACTTTTATTCGGGAGAGATTCCCTCAACATTATTTTCATTTTAAGTATCTTGCACCCTGATGTTTAACAATTTTTCAGCACTCGGAGTGTTTTCAAAAAGTAACGGAGAGAAAAGGCCTAAGAGAAAGATTGTGGAAAGTATCGAAATCAAAACAAAAACACGCAATGGTACAGAAAATGGGCTAACAGTTCAGTGCAGCTGAGGGAACTGCTAGATGCCAGAGTATCATGCTCTTACCTATGCTGGTGGCGGGAGGTGGGTTCGGACTTTTTATGTTTTGTTACTGTCCAGGGTCACTGGTGGACTAGTACCTGGATGTGGAAACTCACACCAAAAAGGCGGCAGGCAAAGCCTCAGAGGCTTTGGCTCACTTCCCTTTCCCTGTGTCGCCTCGCGCGTTTGAGATTGCAGCCACCGCCCAAACACATGATGGCGAGACCGGCTTCACGGGGGCTGGAAGCCAGTGCCAGAACCTAAGATGGTGGCAAAATGCTTGTCAAGGTAGCGGGATAACCGGAAGAATCTGCCCAAACGAAAAATGGCTCCCGTTACTGACCTCAAAGCTTTTTAAAGAGACCAAAATAAAAATGGCGGCAGAAACGCGCTGTTTAGAGGCTGGGCATGCCATGAATACGATTGGCAGATAACGAACCACTGTAATCCAATGATACGTAGTGATAGGGAGAAAAAAAAAAAGTAGTGTTTCTATGGTATCGCAAAACTACACGGTGAGGTGTGAAAAATATTTTGATGAGAAAGGTTAAACGATAGGTTGAGAAACAAAGGTGGCTTTCACAATGCCAGAGAAAAGCTAATTGAAAGTACGCTTCAACATAACGTCATAATAGTTCGGGTGGCCCGAGAGAGCAAAAGATTTATCCCCAAAGTAGAAAAAATATCGGCAAGAGCACGAAATTTAACCAGTCAGTGCCGGCACTGAGCTGGAGACTCTCGACTTCTGACTAAATGGGCACCAAGTCTGGGCGGAAGCTTCCTGCCCGGCGTCCTGCACTGACTGCGCATGCCCGCTCTCCGACGTCCCTCGGGGACCGTAGGGCGGGGCCACGTTCTGCACCCTGAGATGGGAATTGAGGCGGAGTGACAAAAGAAGGCGCTTTGTGATTGGTCACAGGCCGAAAAGCAGCCAAGCAGGGTGACTTCATTCATTCCAGAAATACCTGGCAAAAAAGCGGAAGGTCGCAAAGTCTGTCGCCGCCTTGATGCTGCGATGCGCTTTTTTAAACGTTTTCACTTTCGGTAGTTTGCAGAGACAAAGACACTCGGGGACGGCCGCAGTTCGCCTTAGCCGGAGCGTCCAGCAAATACCGGAGGAGAGGGCGGGACGCGTGGAGCTGCGCATGCGCCTTCTTGTCTCTCTGGGCCAAGGGAGCGAGAGTCCGTAGCGTGTGTGCTTTACTAGCCCGGGTCTGCGCTCCGGTGGCGGCGACGGCGGTTTGGCCGCGAGGTGCAGCTGCTGGTGGGCAGGTGAGAGCGCCCGAGCCGCCAGTGGAGAAGCCACCGTGCGCTCCAGCTGCGAGTCCCCACACACGCGAAGGTCGCGGGTGGCTTCGGCCAAGGGTATTTGGGGGCGGGGATACGCGGAAGCAGCTGGCCACGGAGAGGCCCCAAGGCCGGCTTTGAAAGTTGTTTCAGGTCGTGATTGTCCGATGACTGTGCGAGTGTGGGTAGCCAGGAATGTCCAGTACCAGGTAGAGTTGGAATAAAGCTTCCTAAAGCCACCTGTGCGCTGAACTGGACGGAGAAGCTTCCCTGGGAAATAGTCGGGGTCACCTGCGCTGTCGCTTTCCACCTGCAGCCCGGAACTAACCCTTTCACGGGGAGGGGGTCGATACACCCGGGGCTGTCGGGACGTGGGGTCGTCCCCGAAACGCCACACGGGAGCATAGAGCTGGCAGCATGGTCGTGTCAACTTTGAGAAAGCAGAAACAGCACTCGGACTTGTGACTATATATTGGAGATCCAAGCACATCTGACATGAGCGGAGGTTATGTTCATCCTCCTGGATCCTTTTTGATGTTGGAGGGAAAATGTTTTTGATAATTATCGTCTGCTTTTGCGGTGTGTGTGTGTGTGTGTGAGAGAGACAGAGAGACACTATTGCATTTATCAGTGATCTGGACTGGGAGGGTTCTTCCCACCATTCTAGGAATAACAGTTTAGTGATAAGTCCTAGAAAATAATGAAGAGGGGGAGGAAAGCCAAGTTTTAGATTAAGTGCTTAGAGCAAGGCTCTCCGGAGAACGGACACCCGAAAGAAGAGTTGAAGCTCAAGAATTGTGAAAGAAATGCCAGGCCCATAATACTACAAGAACCTGAAATTGGATCCCCCCCCCCCTCTTTTTTGGTTTTTCGAGAGAGGGTTTATCTGTGTAGCCCTGGCTGTCCTGGAACTCTGAAGACCAGGCTGGCTTCAAACTCAGACAGCTCCTTTTGCCTCTGCTTCTAGAGTGCTGGGATTAAAGGTGTGCACCATCACCACCCAGCTCAGATATTGAATCTTTAAGATAAACTTTACTTAGAGTTGCTGACAACTTGAGAAAGCAGAGCCTTGACACCCTGGGGAAATAAACGACCTAAAATGCTTAAAACAAGCCCCTACTTTTTTCCTATCCTAATGAGTCACCCTGTGAGGACTAAGAAAGCGAGCTTCCCTAGTAACTGTGCTACAGTGAGAATAAAGTCGAGCAACAAAACAAGTAGCTATTAACTAATCGTGAATATTGACTGAAAAACTGGGATTAATTCAGAGGAAACAGAGACGTGTGGTTTTGAAAAATCAGGAGACTTGTGTTGTAGACTGTTAGTTTTAACTGTGCAAAGATGTGTTACATTTGTTTATGCTGCAAAATATTTCTATGTAAAGTTGTTGCATTTGTTTAACTAGGCAAAGATGTGCTACATTTGTTTATGCTATATTTGTTTAATTATGTAAAGATGTGTTACTCTTTTTACCTTGCCTGCCTAAGGCACCTGATTGGTCTAATTTAAAAAACTGAACGGCCAGTATCTGGGTAGTAGAGGGATAGGTGGAACTGGCAGGCAGAGAGAATAAGGAAGAAGAGGGAACAAGGGAGAAAGAAGAAACCTGGGGCCAGCTAGGCAGCCCCCAGCTAGACACGGGGAGGAAAACATACAGAAGGAAAGGTAAGTAAGTCACAAAACAAAGTACAGGTGAAGAGAAACAGGTTAATTTAAGTTAGAGCTAGTGGGACAAGCATAAGCTTAAGCCAAGCATTCATACCTATTTATAAATTTCTGTGTCGTGATTTGGGAGCTGGTTGGTGGCCCAAAAGAAAGCCTGCTACAGACTTGAATTAGGTCTTTTGTTTTTGCTCCTATAAGGTGTTCAGTCATAGATTATTAAAATCACCGCCTTCTAAATTTGGTCTTGGCTTGGAAGACAAGCACCATTCCTTATTCACCGTGGTAGTTTCCCTAGTCCAGGAGTATTGCCAGCATGTGTGGACAGTCAGGGGCATTTGAATAAAAGTAACTCCACGTATACCTCAAGTGAAAATTGACATGAACACTGGAGACATTTGGATCAATCCAGTATTTTCCTGATTTTGTAAACTATAAGCAAAAGATTAGATACATGGTCCCATTGCTCAAGCAGGCGTTTCTGGAGGGGCTACTTTCATGTGTTAGAAGTCATGCTGATGCACCAGTAACAGCCGCAATGTATCGAGCACTTACCCATGCTCACACTATAGTGTTGTAAATATGTATGATAATTTTTATAATGTGATAGGCTATGAGACTAAGGCAGGAACCGATTTTCCCAAGATGTTAATTGGTTTGTGATGAAGGTTTAAGGACGTTTGTTGAAATCAGGAGCGGCAGGGCTGCGTCCCGGCACCCGGCTGCCCGCATGGCTAGCTTATGCCCCGAAATAATTACACGGAAACTGTATTCTATTAAACACTGCCTGGCCCGGCTAGGTCCAGCTTCTTATTGGCTAGCTCTTACATATTGTTCTAACCCATTTCTAATATTCTGTGTAGCCCACGAGCTGGCTTACCAGGATCTTAACCTGCGTCTGTCTGGAGCGGGAGAATCATGGCGACTCCAACTCAGCTTCTTTTTCCCAGAATTCTCTTCTGTCTACTCCGCCTACCTAATTTTCTGTCCTATGAGGGCCGAGGCAGTTTCTTTATTAATAAGAAATCACTCCCACATCAGACGTTTGCTCAAAGCCTTTGTTCTTGTCCAACATTCTGAAGTCCAGATCAGGTATCAGGACTGTCACCTCTAATCACCTGGTAACTAACTTTATTAACTGTCACCAGAGAAGCATACGTGGCATCTACTCTGTGTTTGCTGCTTTTCTGTGCTTGACAAGTTCTCTTATTTCCTTCACAGCTTACCTGACTTACACATTCCACTGTTAGCAATCTTGTAACTTCTTACATTCTGACTATAGGCACAACACCTCACCCCACCTTCAAACAAGAGCTCTCGAAACCACAAAACCTGTTCTTGAGAATCTGGATATTTTTAGCTTTTGTCTAGCATCCATGAATTGGGGGCGAGCCTGGGTTATATATGACACTTGTCTCCAAAAAAAATCTGGGGGGCATCCTCCCTTTTCAGATGACCAAATAAGACTGCTAATAAAACTATCTGTACAGAGTTCAGGCTGTTTCTGGTATGTTAATTTCAACACAACTTTTTGATGTGGAAGTCTTCGTTACTCTTTGCCAGTGGTAGGGACAAGAAGTGGCTCCCTGAGGCAGTGTACTTACAAAGAGGATCCAGGGAAGATTTGAACCCCAGGCATAGGAGTCCACAGCTCATTCCCTTAAGTCACTGCTTTATGATACATTCTTACTAACCTGACTTACTCTAGTCTTGAAAAACCAGTCAGTAGAAACTAAATCTTGATGGCCTTTGTGTATTTTTATGAGATCATACTTTGACCCTGTAGTCTAAAATGTCACTGCAGTCTTGCAGGCAAACAAACATGGCTTCCCATTTCTCTGTGTATACTTAGGAGTTCAGAAGCTTTTGGAGGTCACTCAGACAGTAGCTCTCCAACTTCAGCTTTAGGACTTCCTGGGAATTATAAATGTTTCTAGACACCACCCTGGAGTTTTTACTTCATAGGTCAGGGCAGTCTGAGAATTTACCTTTCTTTTCTTTTCTTTTCTTTTCTTTTCTTTTCTTTTCTTTTCTTTTCTTTTCTTTCTTTCTTTCTTTCTTTCTTTCTTTCTTTCTTTCTTTCTTTCTTTCTTTCTTTCTTTCTTTCTTTCTTTCTTTCTTTCTTTCTTTCTTTCTTCTTCTTCTTCTTCTTTTTTTTTTTAATGGTTTTTCGAGACAGGATTTCTCTGTACCTTTGGAGCCTGTCCTGGAACTAGCTCTTGTAGACCAGACTGGCCTCGAA